GAGGACGGGGATGGAGTGTGGGGTGTGGGTGAGCTGGGTGGAGGCGGGGTATAGATTGGAGCTGGGGGTGGGGGGTTGTAGATGGGTGCTGGAGGTGGAGATGACGGAGGGTATGCGTTGTTGAGCGGGTATTTGGGTGGGGCCTCTGTGTTCTTCACTCTGGTGAAATTGATGCAACGGCCCTATAACAAAAGAGAACAAAGTGGAAAAGCAGAGTTACTGATCGAGGCAATGGCATCGCAGCCGAGATACCTTCCTGGCTGTGTGCAAATCTGACGTCAGTTTAAGTATTCCTGGGCACACCGCTTTGTTCCCTTTCTTTCTCAGAGACAGATGTTATAAGAGCAAGTCCTGTGCCAAGCAACCAAGAGGTTAAACCCTAACAGCAGCTTTTGTAGTGAAGGAGGATGCAATCCTCTCATACTCTTTTCTGACTCCAGGATCTTTAAACAGAGCATCAAGTACTTCAAATCATACTGAAGCTGTGAGAGCTGGCAAGAGCTGTTCCTATTCTTCAGAGCTGGTGCCTGGGTCAGTGCACGACCCGTGGTCCCTGCCTCTACAGATGCCTCTTCCCAGACCTCAGTCTTAAACTTAAAACAGCATGAAATCTGGACTTTGCACCTTTGTAGCCTCTCTCCCCTTCAAATACCTGGCTTTTGTCTCCTATTTCTAATCATTTACCAACCAGGCAAAAGGAAAGATTTGTTTAACTAAGACAGTGTCTTGCTCAGAACTTTTCCTGAAATACATCAATTCTTCATTAGGATGTCTTGATATTCTAGTGCTCTTGAGAAGCCAATAAACTGCTTTTCTCGCTCTTCGGTGCTAAGATACAGTTTGTTGTACATTTTTAAACAAAACCTTTGCCCTCCAAGCTGTTCTTTTTTTTCTCTCCCAAGTTCCACCTGTGAAAGATCCCACTGTAAATACTCAAATGTCAGAATCAGCACTATTGTATTACGGATTCATTCTTTTAGATATGAAATCACCCAAAAAGGCACTAGAGGATTTCTGAGTCCGTACTTTGTTTTTGGATTTGTGAGCGTGAGCTTATTTTCTGTTTTCTTCTTTCCTCTCCCAAAGTAAATGTTTTTCCTGGTGAAAAAATGCCAAATGGAGCATTGGAGCATTGAGCCCGTGCAGGCTGGAGTAGATCAGCCACTTCGAATCCTCTGCACGGCTCTGTATCTTTTCCCTGCTGTACCCAGCCTATGGACAAATGCTCTGCAGAAGAGGGATCCAAAGTGAAGTAAGGAAGATGCTGGTAGAAAAGCAGAAAGGTGCTGGAGAAGGATTTGACAGGGATGAGAGGAGCTGGTGTGGAAGGGGCTGACACATAAAGAGATACAGACAGCTCCTCTCCAAGAGCTCTGCCAATTATATCATCATGCTCTGTGGATATGAAGAAACATCTGTCTGAGCCTTAGCCGTTCAGCAGAGGAAAGTGGATTCCTTGCTGAAGCAATGAAGTATGCAGAGCAGCCCACAGCTGAGTGCAGGCTGTCTTGTGCAAGCAAAGGTTATTTAAGGAAAACAAAAATTTTACAGCGCCTTGAACTGCATCAAGTTCAAAATGAGAGCATCACCTCAGGGCTGCTCTAAGCACGGTGGCAGCTGAACCCCCTCTGCATGGCTCGGCCTGGCCTTCTGTCAGCAGCTGGCAGCAGGAAGAACCTCTGGCTTCAACGCAGGCTCTCCTCGAGGAGTCAGACTCCAGGGCAGAGCAGAGACCCACGTAACGGTCATGAATACGCCCACGGTAATGCCCCTCCTTGAGGATTAATGCTCTCTCAGTTAAGGCTTATCCTTACAGCACGACAACACAGAGGGGAAAAGGGAGGAGAGGCTTGACCACTGCTCCGTACACTGTGCTACCATTAGCATCTGTGCAGCAGGTACATGTTCTCCATCCCTTGCGCAGGACAAAATGCCAGTACAAAATGAAGTGCCAGAGTGGGCAATGCCCCTGACCAGAAACACTATGCTCCCTCCGCAGCATCCCAGCATCTCCGGTGCTGGCCAAAAAGGGGGCACCATCTGATAGGCAGAGGAAAGCCTGAAATAAGCACACCGTTGTCTCATCTCAGAGCATCCCTGGTTCTGTTTGCTCTTTGTGGGCTGGTGTCTCTGCTTTAATGTTGTTTTAATGCACTTTGCTGTGGTTTTAAGTAAATATTGTGGGGCAGGCCTGCTGAGTGAGTGGAAGTCTGAACGCAAGATTAACCAATTCTACTCAGACCCCCCCCCCCATGACAATATTTTCCTTGTTCTAGTTCCACGTCTCCTGCAATGCAACTTTAGTAGTTTCAGACTATTACTTGCACTAGTTTTGTTTTCTTTATTTATGTTGAGAATAAAATAAACCTGAACAAAAAGCAGCAGTCCAGGAATCCCAGCCAGAGAACAAAAAGTTGTGATTGTTTTTGTGTGGAGGGATACTCTGTCTGGATGCTCCAGGGATGAGGTTATGGTACTGCTGATCCAAATGGAACTGAGCACCGCCCTAAGAGCATTCAAGAGGGTACAGTGAGGCTCAGAAATCTTTGGGTTTTGGGCTGGGGCAGGGCTTGAGGACTAAAAACCATCTCGTACTCACGGCAATGCTCAAGGCACTGTCCAAAATGGTAAGAGAGTACATCCTGTGCATCCTGTGGACTGGCAAAGATTTGACTTCTTGTTGATCAAAACTGGCTTGGATAGAACAGCAGTGCCATTATCATAAAAAAGGTGCTAGCAATTCATACCGACATATAGCTGCACTATGTTTACACTAGTTTTTGTAGTCAGCTATGATCTAGTGAGCCTGTGTCCATGAACTACTGCTTATATCCATGACTAATGATAACTTTTTCTCCAGTAATAGGGTTGCTTTGAAATTAGAGTTCTGTTTTCAAACGATTAAATCTCCACTGTCCTTGATAACAGTGCTTTAACAGGGGCTTGTTGGACATGCTGTCTGGTTTGAACATCTAGTCGGACTGGAGTCTGAGCATAAGCCACTCAGACGCAGACCAGAGAACAGACAGCACGGGAGTGCAGACACAAGAGCCAGACTTGATCCAGAGCTAGCACAGCATGTAGCTGTACTCATCAGATACCTCTTCCCCATTCCCTTGTGCATTATGCTGGTCTAACATCAGAGTTCAAACCTTCTTCCCCTTAAAACAGGATAGAGCGCGCCTTCTTCTCAGCTCAAGCATGCCATTCCCTATCCCCTCCTATTTCCTTTGCTGTCTGGGTCAGCTGCTCTGCAGCGAATTGACAGTGACCCGTTTGGCAACACTTTCTACTACTGTGCAATGGGTAATTCTGCAGGGCATCCAACATGTGTGAAGGGCAGATACGCAGTTCAGGCTTTCTCCTCCTTTCACGTGAACTGACAGACCAAGGGAGTTCTTGAGTTTCATTTCTTGACATTTCTTTCATCCATGCAGAAGGGGGGATGGGGAGAGAACGCCAGATAGGAGTTTTCAGTCCAGATGGACTGAGATGGACTTTGGCAGCTATACTGCCTCGGAGGAGATGGAGAAGCCAACATCTCCTAGAGGAGGAGAATTGTCAGATCGAATGACAAGGAGATATCCAGGAAACAAATTACTATGCCACTGCACATGAGAGACAGAAAATGTTTTACTAGTGCCCTGGGTACAAATGCAAATCAGACCCAGGAGGAAGAGAGCTACCAAAAAGCTGGATGTTAAACAGCTATCTTGTATCTAGGAATATGATAACAGATACAAAAGTGCAGAGGTTGTGCTAGCCAGAGTTTGACCACAAACAAGTAATCCTAGAGCTCCAGAAGACCCAGCTTTCTCTGAAATGCATGGCAAGAGATGTATTTTCCCACCTGCACTTACCAGACGGGGACCCTGATTCACAGCTGGGCTTTGTACCATGCAATTGCAATAGAAAAATAAGACGCCAGCATCATCGACCTACTCCATGGTTCAGTGCTGTTTTATCTGGAAAACTGTCTGGATGAAGATCAAGTTGGCTGGCTAATCACCCATCCATTCAAGCTTTTACAGGGCTCTCCATTGCCAGCACAGTTCAGTTCATCCCTCAGATAACAGAAGTTGACCGGAGCAATAACAGACCCTCTAAATAAATGGGCCCAAATGCCTTGTTCAGCCTTGGCATCTGGATGCAAAACCAGAGCGAGTGCCTGAGGTACTACAAGTAAGAGGAGTGCAGGATCTCTCTACAATCAGTGGAAACATATAGACCTTCACATGACTGTGATTTTAGGAAGGTCTCAAAGGCCACCAGTTAGCAGCCCCTCTTGGCTATCTACCAAGGTTTATCACCTCATTTAGGTGTCCAAATTTAGATGGGGTGGATGTGGAAGATGGTGGCAGAACATCCAGGAAGCAGGAAATGAACCCATTTCCACTAAATGCTACTTTGGATCCTTAAACAGAAGTCACCTTTCATCCCAGGAGAAAAAACTCCTTAACCAGATTATACCACAGCTTTGAGAATAAGAGGAACCAATTCTATTAGTCTTTCTAGCAGGGAGACAGTAGTTGGAGATATAGAATGTATGAACATAGGGAACGGGCTGTATATTAAAAGGCTGCTGTGTTGAACGCCTTGGCTAGGTTTTATTTCCCTTTCTGCAGCCACAACGCTTCAGGGGGGAGAGTCACAGCTGTGCCTCAGAAGAGACAATTGAAGCAATATGGAGACATTATTAGATCTGAAATTTAGTGGAATCAGCAAAATCAGTGAGGGCAATTCACTCTCGCATTTTATGTTGTTTTTCTAGAGAGTACTGCTCGCAGGCATATGCATAATGAATTCTGCTTGGAGTTGCCTTGCTCTTTCACCTTCAACAGCTAATTATCTTAGGGATGAAGGCAGGCAGCACTGCTTCTAGGACAACAAAGCACTCAGCCGTGGGAGGCTGAGTCTCCTCTGACCACGGGCCTCGCCCTGTGAGCTCTTTGCATGCAGAGTGCCGTAGGGTTGCACACTTGATCCAAGCTTTTCCTTTTGTTCTTCACATCTGGTTGATTGAGGAGTGCTGCCAGGGTTGAAAGAGAAGGGTGGGATGTGGGATGAGGGGGACATTAGGCTACTGAGGTCGTAGCACAGGGTGGCGGTTGTTGAGCATTCAAGAGAGCGAGCTGGAGCATTTGTGTCTTGGACGCGGACATGGCAAGCAGAGGCGCAAAGA